ATTAGGTAACTAAACTATATATATATATATATTATATATATATAAAATATAGTTACCTAATATAATATAATATATATAGAGAGGTTTATTTAAGGAATAAGTTTATTTAAATTTATTTTATTCAATAATTCATGTTTTAGATTAAATTTTAATAATTTAAGTTAAATTTAAAATTCTTAATATATATTAAGTTTGTAAATTTTAAATTTTTTTAAAAGTATTTAATATTTTTTTTATTAATTCAAATTAACATATAAAATATTTTTATGATTATCTGTCAAATTATGTAGATTTATGTAAATTTTATGTAAATTTACTCATAAAGTAAACAAATTTCTTAAGGAGAGTTAGGAAAGACTAATTTTGGATCAATGACTGAAAGGGGTACAAAACTAATTTAAATAAATTTTGTTATAAAGAAAAAATTCAATTTTTTTATAAGGACATTTCAATTTTAACTTATCAAAAATAAAAATAAAATAAAATTTATTACAAAAAAAAACACCTATTAACATGTAACATTTTATATTTACATTTATTTAATTAATTATGGTATAAGAAATATTAATTAAATATATTTCTAGTTCTTTTAATATAATCATTTTTTATTTTAATTTCTGTAATTTTTTGAGTCTATTTTGCTCACTATAAAATATTATTTTTTAATTTTAGTTTTTGATGTTATTTTTAAATCCTTGTGTAAAGTTAAGACAAGATTCATATATATAATATCTTATTTTATGATTTTAGCCATTAATTTTCTAAAAAAAAAAGTGTTTGATACATCATCAATAAAAGTGTCAAAGACTAAAATTATATATATATATATAAATATATAGGGATCAAATCAATAATTTTTATGACAAAAATTAAAATTATAAAATGATTAAAAATATATTTAAGTAAAAAAAATTATATGTAATAAAATGTGTCATTCATAATCAAATAAGTATTTAAGTTCTACTAAATATATGTAATAAAAGAAAAAAAAAAGACCTTTATCTAGACGCATAAATTGTCATGATCAGACCGTATATACATATATTTGCGTACGCATATATTTTTCTTTTTACTGCAATACGCATATCCTTTTAACACCACTTGTCCTAAGTTATTTAAAAAAAAAAAAGAAAAAAAAAAGAAACCACTTGTCCTGAGTTTATTTTTACATCTGACGATGAAGTACTAGTTTAGTGTACAACTTCAGCTTTTGTTTAATAATGTCTGTTGCTTATTGTTCAGTTAACATATTAATAATTAGTTGCTTTATTACAGTAATTAATTAATCTTTTAATAACATAACAGTAACACGTTAATTACAAACTTTTTTAAGTGTCAAGTCCCTTTCTATGTAGAAACTTCAAATATTATGTTCAGAGTGGCCTAACAATTTCTTCCTTAATTCCAAGTCAAACAAGTATTTGTTAGACTCACACCAGCTAGCCATTTATGTTGACATTTATTTGGACTAACTCTAGAAAAGTCTTGAATGCTCAACTATGCACTATATTTCAAAAAAGTTATATATGATATATCAAAAGAGTCACTTCAATGCCAAACTCACGTCGTTCCCAGCACACTGCCACCGCCACGAGTACACATACATGAAAAGAAACTAAAAGCAAGTGCACTAAACTGTGAATGCCTCAAATTATTTTAGAAGTTGCAAAAAAAGGAACACAAATATGTTTATGAGAATCTTTATTCTTCAGCTAATAATCCACCTTGTAAACAGATATAGCGTTGTCATATAGGTCTAGCTAGCATTCTAATCATAACAGTGTTGTTTGTACTCCGCTGGTCTTGTGTTCTTGAATTCTACCCTTTCTTACCAGTTGTCAAAGGAGGGATGCTCTGTTCATGCCTAAAGAAATTAGACGGATCAACTTTAGATTTCACCTTCACCAACCTGTTGAAGTTACCCTTGAAATATCTATAGCCCCATGACCAAGCCTTTAAAAGATTAGTGTTATTCTTCTTGTTCATCCCTATATCCAAGTCCCTATAATTAACATAAGTTTCCCTTGGATACTTTGAGGCATAGGGAGCCATGTAGAAGTAAAACTTCCTCATCCAGCTCATGTGCTTTTCCATGCTCTTTTCTCCATCAAGCCATCCAGTCACATACTGAATTTTGTAGAGAACCCCATTTCTGTGGGGAAAAGGGGTGGCAGATTCTGAAATCCTGCTCATCATGCCTCCATAGGGGTTCCAAATCATTAGAGGACCATCATCCTGAAGAAAAACTTTCCATAGGGCATTGAGGGACTTTTCAGGGATTACTTCCCTCACAAAATCTGATTTTGCTTTGAAGTAAGCCTTGGATGAGGACTTCCCTTGGAGCAAAACTTCTGGGGCTGTTCCATCAGGGTAGCCAGCAATATAAAGCACAGATTTGATCCAACTAGTTTCCACACAATCCTTTCTTGTCAAACCCAATTCAGGAAAACCACGCTTCATGACTTGGAGAAGCCTATTAGCCCCACCAAGATATAGAGCATTGTAAGAAGTGGTCACTGTTCTCTGACCAGGAACACTTCCATTTCCTGGCTGAATGAGGACTCTGATGAAGAGATCTTCATCAATTTTTGGAGCCACTTGCTGCCATCTATAAAGAAGCTTGTTCCCTCCTTGTTCCAAGGTCCTAGTTACCGTGAAAACAGTCACAGTTTGTGGCACAGGAACCAACTTGATCTTCCACGACAGAATAACACCAAAACTCCCTCCACCACCTCCTCTTATGGCCCAAAATAAGTCCTCCCCCATGGCTTTTCTATCAAGAATCCTCCCATTAGCATCAACAATTCTAGCATCTAGAACATTGTCAGCACCAAGACCATACTTTCTCATCATGGAACCATACGCACCTCCTGTGATGTGCCCTCCAATTCCAAGGGTTGTGCAAAGGCCTGCAGGGAAGCCATGCACAGAACTTTTCTCTGAGATTCTATAATAAACTTCACCAATAGTGGCACCGGCTTGAATCCAAGCTGTGTTGTGTGCAATATCAACATTCACTGCACGAAGTTTGGCCAAGTCTAGGACCATGAAGGGCTTCTCAATGAGAGAAACATAAGATAGCCCTTCATAGTCATGCCCTCCACTTCGCACTCTCATGTGAATACCAAGCTGTTTTGCACAAATCACTGAGGCTTGGACTTGAGAGTCATCAAGTGGGGTGAATATGAAATCTGGCTTTGGCACTGAAGGCAACAAGTACCTTAGATTCTGGGCTGTGGACTCAAGGATAGAAGAGAAGGAACCATTTGTGGAAGTGTAGATTGAAGAGGAAAATTGATCAGGCGTTTTGGAATGGAGTTTTAGACAACGGTTGAAAGCTTCTTCAATTGGAAGAGAAGTGGTGAGTGAAACTGAAATTGATAATAGAGCTACAAAAGTTACTAAGATGAACCTCAGAGACTGCATGGTTGTTTGGTTTCAGTTTCAGCTTTCTTTTGAGTTCAAATAAAGGGTTTGTTTGGGTTGTATATATAAACTGGTTGCTACTTGCTAATGCTGGTTTATAGGGGTAATCTACGTGTATTTGAGCTAAGGCAAACGTCATATGAATGGTAGTTTCATTTTATTTAGTTCACAAAGAGTGGTGTAATGGAAAATCATGACAATCATAACGTGGAATATCGCAGATCAAAATTGAACACAATACATTTCACACCCGAGATTATTATGGGAAATAATCTTCTTTTTTTCTATATGCACATTTTTTTCTTCCCACTGCCGTGTGTTCCGCAATCGTATGCTACTCTACCTAATCCTTTTGGTATGATTGGATTGATCAAAAGAGAAGAAATGAAATACAAAATATAAAAATGAAATGAATTTTTTATTTTTAATATTTTAATGTTATATAATGGAGTAGAACACAATTTTCATCGGATGCCATGTCAAATTAGTGAGAGAGAAAATGAAGGTAAAATATAAAATAAGATAAAAAAATATGTTTTAGTAATTTTTATTATATTTTATCTTTATTTTATACTAATTCAAATAATTCAATATAAAATGTTAACCTCAATTACATCCCCTCATCGATTCAAAATTTCACACATAACCTTGAAAGAGTTTCAGTTGAATAGATTATTGACACACACAAAAAAAATAATATGCTTTTTATATACTTCATCAAGCCATCCAAAGATAACCTTGAAAGAGTGGTTTTTTTTTGTTTTTTAAATTCTTTCTTTGTGATTGTATAGCATAGGCAAATATGAAAATGTAATTATTTAAATCGAGAATTTTAAAAAATAAATAATGATGAAAAGCAGAAAAGATGTCCTCTAACAACCACAGAAGTAACCATTCAAGCTCTGAAAGAAGCCTCCGGGTATCTCGACTCTGTTTCTTGTCTTTCCTTTCTTTTAGGTATAATTTCGTTATATTTCTCAAATGTAAACTCGACTCATTTTCACATATATTTATTATTCTTTTTTTTTTCAAACGCAAAAGTAATCCCCATGTATTTAGCATGAAATACCATATTCAATCATCAATCGTATGACTCAATAATGTGTAGCCACTAACCACTTCCAACACCTCTTTGGTGTAATCGAAGATAACAAAAAAAAAGCAAACAAGGGGGGTCTGCTATAATGTCCTAAAAAAGCATGTTACTTTATGTGTGTTTGGTGTTGCGTTTTAAGAATTGATTTATCAAAATCAATTTTCCAAACGTAGAAGCTATTTTTATTAGCTTCAGGCAAAATTGATTTTCACACTTAAAATTATGTAAAGAAGAGAAAACCAAACATCTATTCAAAGAGAGGAATCACGTTTTTTCATCCAAATACGTGCGTTAACTTGCTCTAACGCAAATCCAAACACGCTGTATATATATATATATATATATATTGTGTGTAGAAACGAGTTAATTTCAATTCAATTAGATTTGAAAAAAAAATCATATTAATAAAAAAAAATTCATCAAAAACACTTATTTTTCATTAAACATGACCATGATAGAAGTTACAACCTTATGCTCCTTTCGAGCTTCTACAACACTTTTATTAATAATATTTTTAATGTTAAATAAAAATAAATTAAATTATGATTAAACTTTCAGCTCTTGCAAATAATATTTATTTATTCTGAAAGTTCAAAATAATGAACGAGTGACACCGCGTCTTTATATGCGGTCAACGCACCATCAGCATGTTCGGTAGAATTAAAAATTAATGTATGATAACATGTTACCATCACTTTTTAAAAACAAAATTCTCCCAACTTTACTAAAGTATTTCAGAATGATGGATGCCAGAGTTACATTATGGACAATGTATTTCTCATAACCACATTAGGGAGAATATATTATTTTATTTGGCACCGTTAAATATATACTTAAGTAGTCCGTCTATTATTTTTTTTCATAAATATTTAGAAGTTTTGATAGATTCTTTTTTATTTAAGCAATAATTCTGATACACTTTTATTATTATTTGAAATTTATTAAAAATTATAAAATTGTATTTGTTTAATAAATTTCATTCATCATTCTATATTTTAATAAATTTTAAACTATAATTAAAAATACATTAGAATGAGTGTGTTAGATAATGTTTTGTTAGTATTTATCTTTTAGCATATATTTATATCTTGAAAAATGTTGGCAACACTGTTGATTACATGGTGTGTTTAAGGGAGATGATTTAGTAGGGAATAAAGAAGGAGAGAGATTATCAATGAATTAAAAAAAGTGTGTTTGAAAGAGATGATTTAAGTGGATTTATGAGAAAATTGTGGTAGGAACCCATGTGGATTTAACTTCACTCTCTTATAAGTGGATTTGTGTGGAATTTTTCACCAAAAAATACTTCAACAATTTACTCCTACACTATTATTTAAATAGTTAGACTAAATTGCACTTTTGGTTTTTCTATTTTTATCAATCTGCAGTTTTGGTCTCTCTATTTTAAAATAAAGACATTTAATCCTTCTAATTTTAAAAATACAAAATTTTGATTTCCCTATCAAATTGACATTTACAAAGAGAGGTTTGGATGCATTATGAGCATGCAATTAGTGAGCAAGTCTCTTTGTATGCGGATTACAATTTAGGGCAACTTGGCCCTATTAGCTTTGGTGGGTTGATAAAGAATTCGACTAATGCTTGGATTAAGGTGTTTTATGGTGATATAGGTATTATGGATAATATAATAATGGAGTTAGCTAGAATATTATCTGGCTTATGTCTTGCTTGACATCTTGGTTATAAAGATGTTTTGTGTCTCTCGGATTTTGCTTATGTTTTATTATTAGTGCATTCCCATTGGGATCATAGACATTGATTTAGTGCTCTTGTTTATCATCTCCAGGAACTACTTTAAGGAGATTGACATGTTCAGTTGTGTCATACATTGAAGGAGGACAATCAATGAGTTGACTTCTTAGTTAAACTAGGATCGAACTCTACTTCCATGTATTTAGAGTTGGACTCGTCACCACTTGATCTAAACCCACTATTTTTAGCTGATGCTAGGAGAGTGTAATTTTTGTGGTTGTAATTTTCCTTTTTGTTTATTTATCTTCACAAAAAAAAATTGACATGTACTAATGGTTAAGTTTTGATGTTTATTTATACTTAAGTAATATAATATTTAATAATATGATATTTAGAAGTAAAAAAACTAAAAACTATATATATAAAAATATTTTTTTAATAAAATAAATATCAATCACTCGTAAAAATATATATATAATAAAAATTTTGTATGTTATTTTTAATTTTTATTCTTATACATCATGTCACTAAATATCATATCATTTAAGTGGTGATATATCACTAGACAACATTAAAATTTAATGATCAACGAATATCAAATTGATGGAAGGTCCAAAATTTCATATTTTTAAAAAAAATAAGGAAATTAAATATCTCTATTTTAAAATAGAAAGACCAAAATTGTGAATCGATGAAAATAGAGGGACCAAAAATATGATTTCGCCAAATAGTTAGTTAGTAAAGGATAAAAATGTTATTATCTAAATAATATATTTTTGACATAAAAATCTAACTATATAAAATATATTCTTAAAATATTAACTTATCTTTATTTCTCACCTATTTTCACTCTATCAAACAACTAATCCTACACTATTTCCTATCAAATCATTTCTTCCCTGCTCTCTCCCAAACAAAGCATAAGAGTGGAAATAGGCTAGATTGAGTTAGGCTTTGTTAGGCCTAGATTGATACATGGTGAGTTTGAGATTGACCTATTTACCTGTCATTGGTCCTTTTTAAAGGTCTGAGCTTAGCTTACATAAAAGTTCGATTCGATCTGTAAATTTGTTTAACAGTCTATTTTGTAATACATTAATATCAATATAAAAGCAAAAATTAATATATGTTGTTTTATAAAAGTTTATTATAACTTTTTAAATATGATATAAACACATTTTTAAGATTTAATATAATATTTATAATATATCTTTAAAGATCTAATATAATTTATTTAAAATATTTTATAATAAAATCTCTAAACACAACATAAACTTGTCTCTAAATAAACTTATAAACTTTTATTTTTTTTATATTAATTAACATGTTTAATATTTATAAACGTTATAATAAATTTGATATTATAATACAAAAAAAAAACTTGATACAATAACAACACCAATAATAATAAATATTTATTTTTATAAGCATAATAGACTTTTTAAATGACCTAAAGTCTATGGATAAAAAGAAGTGGTCTAAAGCCTTGTCTTTTTTAATTAAGAAAAATAATAGCAACACATTTTTTCAACATACTTTTTTAAACACATTTTTTAATTGATTGAATTTTTTTGAAAAATACAAAATTTGGCAAGTCTCACACCATATTTAATGACTCTTTCTTGATTTTGTAATTTTCAATAAATTTTAACCAATAAAAATGAATATGTTAGAAAGAGTATATTGCTAGCACTCCTCTTTAACTAAATAGACTTTAATAAAAGTCTTAACTTAACCTATTTTCTAAAAAAGTTTTATCTAGCCTAAGATTGATGTAGGATAGGCCATAGGCCTCTATGGAGTGATCTGACTTATTTTTACTGGTACTCATTATAATGCTCTCTTCATAGTACGTTCTTTATTATTGATTGAAAATTACAAATTTTGGTGAATCTAATCACTAAATTAAAAGAGAGACTCGTTAAAATATATACAGGATCACCTGCAAATTTTTTGATTTTCAATAAATTTCAACCAATAATAAAAAAGAGTATTAGTAAGTTTCAAAGAGAATATTGCTATTCATTAGTACTCCACTCATGATAACCCTCTCTTCATAATACTCTTCTTATTATTAGTTGAAAATCATAAATTTTGAAAAATCCTATCACTAATTAAATAAAAAAAAGAGATATGAGATGTAGGTCTTACAAAAAAAAATTATTTTCAATAAATGTCAACTACTAATAAAGAATGTTATTAAGTGGGTATTAAAAAGAATGTTGCTAACATTCACTTATTTTAACACTGTTCATAATACTCTCTTTATTATTGGTTGAACATTACAAATTTTGACAAGTATTACTATTAAATTATAAGAGAAACTCTTTAATAAAATGTAGGATAAAAAAATTATAACTTTTAATAAATTTTAATTAATAATAAATAAAATATTA